TTTCGGGTTAGAAGTAGGCCCTTCAAAAGGAAATCTATCTGGTATTCACGGCTCTGAGCTGGGTTTTTGTAACACACCCTCCTGCCCTAAACCCTAAACCCTAAACCTTAAACCTTAAACCTTAAACCCTAAACCCTAAACCCTGAACCCTGAACCCTGAACCCTGAACCCTGAACCCTGAACCCTAAACCCAAACCAGGAGGGCCCAGGCATGCCAGCCGCGAAGAAGCCGAAGAGGAGTGGCCCACTTGGTCTAGGGTTTTGGGTTACGGCGATCGGGTTTAGGGTTTAGGGTTTAGGGTTTCGTTCTGCTTCAAAAGGTGCACGTTTAAGTAGAACGAGCATTTTGGGTCAATGTGGATTGAAGTCGATGCGACGAAAGTGACGAGAGTGATTTGTACACTCACATGAAGAATACGCTACTTAGGCAAACAAGTTTGTTGGGTAGTTTGCATTGCAATTGCTTTTGGCTACTGGAGTGGTGGCTTCTCCTGTCCTGTGGTTTCGAGGACCCCTAGTTAGTGGCCCCACGGTATCCCTTTTGAAAGGGTTCAGCTGCCTGTATAAAACCCAATGGGTATTTCCCAAAATTGTGCCCCTTAAATAAACCGAAGAAAGTCTACTATGATCATCCATAGCCTTTATCTTAGGAACCCCTAGCCGGGTGCATACCCTAGTCTTCGCAAACCCCAAATTCTACCGTTTGGGGTGCCCTCGTCATTCCTGAAACTATAGGTTTAGGGTTCAAGGTTGCCTCGTTTACTGGGGAAGCGCCCTAAACTGAACCCTTGTCGAGCGTGATCTGAAGTATGGGCCCCTGGGTTTTCTAGGGTATATAAAGGGTATAGAAGAGGACCCCAAGTAAAAAAACTCGCATTAAGGGACCATGTAACCACCCTTAATCTCGGGGCCACCATCTGCTCTTGCGCCTCAGGACGAAATAAGGGCCGCTTATGCCGCGACGCATGCGGGGGAAAACTGTCCAAGCTTTGCCTTCCATGTTTTGAGGCCAGGAAACCGTGAATCCCTACCTGGCCCCGAATCCAGAGAGCCTTGAATTCCCCTCAATTCAGCAACAGACCTTAAAGCATGTTAATGGACCCTATAGAAATTACGGTGCTGTACGGTCCTTAGTTAGGGGGGCATTGGGCTCTTTGGGTAATCCTACTCCAAGCTTCTTGCTAGTAGTCCCCCCTCCTCCTAAAAAGGAAAAGGCATCTTGACACGCAGTTCAGCCGATGAAGTATCAAGCAGGGGTGTCTCGTATCTCTTACCATGCACCCTAAACCCTAAACCCTAAACCCTAAACCCTAAACCCTAAACCCTTGCAACATACACTACAAGGAAAAGGCCAACAAAAACATGGACGCCTCCCAAAGCGCCCCGAACATCAACTGCATGTCATGAACTCGGGAAGACATGTATGTTCAATTGTTAGTGATCGGGTATAGGTGAGGGACAACTTTTGCCACCTGCTGTGGTCTCAGCTGGGTCGATGGAGGAGTGGCCCTCCTTGCCTAGCTGAGCGAATGAGTTAGTGGCCACCCCTAAACCCTAAACCCTAAACCCTAAACCGGAGGTTGAGGGTTAAACCCAAAGAGCCCAATACCCCTGAAGTACAGAATTCACCTTTAATCGTGTCAAGGACTGTTGTTTTTAGCGGTATGTTCTTTAATTCAGGGGTATTGGGCTCTGTTTGCTGTTATTGGTCTTGCTTCTTGTTCTCGATCATGCTGCTCAATGTGGTGTTGTTAATGTTTCTTGCTATTGTGTATTGTTGTTGTTACTGTTATTGTTACCGTTTTTGCTTTTGTTAGTGTTGTATGGCTGTTGCTATTGTGACTCTTGTCACCGATAAGGCTGATGGCCCCAAACTTAAGCGCGTGGCGCGCGCTTTGCAGGTCGTATGGGTATGCTTTTGTCTAAACTCGAAGGGGGCTAAACCCTCACAGCAATCCTAAAGTGTCGGGTGCTCTCGTGTACGGCCTTGTGCTGGGTCTAGGGTTGGGATGTTCCCCCTTACGTTAACAGCCCTTAATAGGGACTATAGTACCCCCCCCCCCCCCCCCCCCCATTATGATCTTTATGAAGGTTAGTATTAGGGGGAACGCCCAAGTGTCGGTCTTAGTTCAAGTTTTTATAGGGCCCTCGAACCCACCCCAGTGTAGGGAGGCTACCCCCCCCCCCCCCCCCCCAGAATATGGGCCCGGTCCTCATTATGCGCAGCGCGCTCTGTGTGTGTGTGTGTGTGTGTGTGTGTATGTTAGGTCTGGACTTGGGATGATCCCGTGCCGTCAGATGATGCACGAGGCTGGTGTTTCTAGATGCGTGAGGGCCTTGCTGGCACGGCCCTGAGGGATGGATCAGCCAAAGCCTGTATCTGAACTATGAAGCTCCAACCGATCTACTTGAAGGATCGGGGGATTCATTCTGTAGGCACAAGGTAGCGCTATAGGGACGCTGAAAGGGATCCGGATCGGGGCTATCCTACTTGGGAGGCTTGACATCTACTTCCTAAGCCCCCCAGATCCTCCAAGTAGCTTGCCAGGGACCATAAGACAAGCAGCCGGCATTCAAGTACTTGCAAGCATAGACCCCTCAGGGAAAGCTTCGCAGAGCCAGGGACGTGAACCCAGACATAGGGTTTATAGGGTTCACCTGGACCCTCCCTACACAAAGGGGGGCATCTTCAACACCATAAATCACATTCCTCAATTACGGGGAGTATTAACCCTAAACCCTAAACCCTACACCCTCTGGGTCTCAGGGATCTTGCTTTGCTTCTGTCCCGCTGCAAGGGCCAAGCCCTCACAACCCTCAAGCACTCTCCATGCAAGCCGGTCTTGGACCCTAAACCCCATAAGGATCGTTTAGGGTTTAGGGTTTAGGGTTTAGGGAGGATCCATGCAAAACAGGGTTTATGTTACTGTTCTTGGTGAGTGTATATCTGGTTTCTTGTTGTGAGTGCATGTATTGGGTATCCTTTTGGGGATAAACCTACTTCATGTATCTATATGGTATATCCTTGGGCCTTACCAAAGGGGTTCCTCTAAAGTAGCTTGAGGGCCCAAGTGTATACTATACAGGTACATGGATCCCGAGGGTAAACCCTAAACCCTAAACCGCAGGCCTTGAAGGTTGTCGACAAGAACTGGGATGGGGAGCTCAATTTTGAAGAGTATCGGGCCCCAGCCTCCTCAGGGACGGGTGGGGGAGGGGAGGGGGTCCTTTTTTGTTTAGGGTTTCGGGTTTAGGGTTTAGGGTTTAGGGTTTAGGGCCCAATGATTCCTGTTAACACTACGTTAGGGTTTAGTGTTTGGGGCTTGGGGTACCAAGACGGGAGCCCTCGTTCACCAAGAGCCCTTGACCCTGCCCCTTATTCTCGTAATGACTGCAGAGAGTGGTTGTTTGGCCCATGCGGAGCAATATTCGACACCCTAACCCTAAACCCTAAACCCTAAACCCTAAACCCTAAACCCTAAAGCGTTGTGGTTTGCGACGTGGTGCTCAACATGCTTCATTATGCTTTAGGGTGTTCCCCCTTGTACTGCAGTCCTTAATAACCCTGAACCCTATGAAGGACTGTTCGGACAAGGAGGAACATCCCAAAATATGCCTTTGGAATGGATATTAGAGCATGGACCCCAGAAGGAGCTGAAGATAGCTTCAGTTTTCCTAGGGTTTGGGGTTTAGGGTTTAGGGTTTAGGGCTACTGGGACCCAGAGTGGGCCCTTATTCCCCTTTTTTGGGGGCTTTAGGTTGCCTTATAGCCCCCTTCACACTCGATTGCTATTCCTCGGTTGCTCTTGGGTCTAGCTTCGGGCGCCTGCGATTTCGGGTTTTCAGGTTTAGGGGAGCACGGTGAAGAACCAGCATGTCAAGGGTCGGGTACAGTGAGGGTTTAGGGTTTAGGGTTTAGGGTTTAGGGTTTAGGGTTTAGGGTTTAGGGTTTAGGGTTTAGGGTTTAGGGTTTAGGGTAAGTGAAGATGTCAGGACTCCATGCATTTCCCTAAGGATCCATGTAGCTACATCCTATATACTTGGGCCTTGGAGGCCTGCATTGGAGCTTGAGGGCCCAAGTAAATACTATACAGGTACATGGATCCAGAGATTAAACCCTAAACCCTGAACCCTAAACCCTAAACCCTAAACCGCAGGCCTTGAAGGCTGTCGACAAACTTTCATAGAAAGCCACAGCTCTTCTGCGCAAGGCAACAGATGGTCTCCTCTCTGTACGAAGGCCCCAATAGAAGCTGAGCCGCTTGAGTCGAACCTGCAAGATTCCCGCCTAAACCCTAAACCCCAAACCCTAAACCCTACTCCCTAAACCCTAAACCCTAAACCCTAAACCCTAAACCCCACACCGCGCTGGCTGGCAATGGTGTAGCATCTGTGAGGGCACGAAGCACCGGCGAAGCTTGCACATGACCCAGGCTCAGGAAAGAAACGCCAAAGACGTTCCCAGGTTTAGGGTTTAGGTTTAGTAGGGTTTAGCGTTTAGGATGTAGGGCCAAGGAGCCCAATATGAATTAAGGAACACACCGTAAATGGGGGTTTCCGAAATTAGGGGTGCTTTATTGGAGACTTCATTATCAGGGAATTCTATTGTTTGGGCTGCTATATTACGACTCTTAGTTTCGTAAACACCCCATATAGATCAGGGATCCTTAGTATGATTTAAGGCGTATTCCAGGCGTGTTTTTGGGCTCTTTGGGTTCTTTTGACCTGTATTTTGGGGCGTTGTTCCTTGGAGGTGACTCTGCCAATCGCCGTCCCAACGCGCCAAGATTCGGCGAGCGCGCCTGAGCCCCGTCGCTTGGCCACCGGCTTAAGTCCGCATGAGTTGGGGTTTTGGGTTTTAGGTTTTGGGTTTTGGGGCTGTGGACCGAAGATCTTTCAACATGTTTTATACAGGAATATGAAGTTTTTAAAGTCCGTAATGCCCTTTTACTAGTTACTAAGGTGCAGGGCTTTGGAGTTTGATCCAAGGATGCTGCAAGATGGGCCAGCTGGTGTTCTTCGCTGCCACCTTCAGTGCTGGCTTTGCTTGTGGTTTGTCTGCCACCACCTTCAACGCGAGCTTTGTGCCTTCGCTGTCCACAATCAAGCTGCCGGATGTGTGCCCGCCTTGCGCGCTGGCAGGCGCGTGCCCGCCCTGCGTGCAGCAGGTGCCCGCGCCATGCCCAGCTCCGCAAGCGCCCGCGAAGCCTGGCAATCCTGGTGCGCAGTTGGAGAAGCCCAGCGCCGTCCCTATATCCCCCTTGGGAATGTTTTTTTGTTTTATACATTTTTGTTTATATAAACCCAAGAGGATATTAAACATATTTGTTTTCGTTTTTATGAAGGTTCTAAGGGGATGTAGAGGTCCTGATCACTACCAATGCCCCAGCTAGCACTCCGAGCACATTCCTGCAACCTGCGACGGCGGAGATCATCATTGTTAAGGTCTTTTCCGGTGGCCTCTCGGCGAAACCCGGGCTTTGGGGTTCAGGGGTTTTAAGGGTTTAGAGGTTCTTGGTAGAGGTTTAGGGGTTGGAGAGGGGGGGGGGGGTGGCAAAGCAGTGCAAGGGGCTGCTTAAGCGCAGCCCAGACATTCGACCCAGCGTCGTAGCTCACATGCTCACACACAAGATTGAAAAGGAACCACCAGTGGGACTGAAGACCTGAAAGAAGTAAACCCTTACACAACAACCCTAAGTCAGCCCAGGCTGCCCTAAGGATCCATGCACCTATATAGGATATACTGGGTCCTCAGAGGGGTTTCTCTTTAGTAGCCTTAGGCCGTCAAGTATGTATACTGTATAGGTACGTGGATCCTTATAGGGATTCGGCACGAGGCAACGGCCGGTTGGGAAACAACATCGGCCAGCTTCTGCATGGCTTGGCATTTGCCCTGCGCCACCTGGTTGTCAAGTATCTTTTACCTCGGTACTGCTCAGAGAGCCCAAGAACCCGCAATTAAGGAGAGCGCACCTCAAAATATGAACGGGATCCTGAATAGGGTTTGCGGTCTTTTGCTTCAATAAGGGTTCGTCGGCTCTCGGGGTTTGGGTTCGTCAGGGAGCTCTATGCCGTGCCACTTGCTCGAAATGGTTCGAGGTTGCATCTCGCATCTGCGGTGTCATTAACCTTAAACCAAAAAACTCTTGAACCCTGCCTTAAATCCTACACCGTAAATCCTAAACCTGAGAAGAGTTCGGAACAATGTGCAGGGGCGCTTGGGAGCTGAAATGACCCTGGAGAGGAGTTACATTAGAGGTTTTAGGGTTTAGGGTTTAGGGGGTTTAGAGTTCATGGTTTAGGGTTTAGGGCATCAGAGCCCGGATGCAGAAAAGGGTTCACGGGGCACCAGTCCCATGCTTCTCCTCCTCGTCAACCCAGACCCCTTGGCAGGATCCGGAGATCCCTTTAAGGGTTCATGAAGAATGACCCAATAGTAGTATTGGTGGGGATGTTCCCCCTTATACTGATAGTCCTTAAGAGGGATTATAGTACCCCTATGATCATCCCTATTAAGGACTGCTAGTCTAAGGGGGAACCTCCCAAAGTATAGGGTACTATTTAGGGCTTCTGCTTTTGGGATCCTTCCAGGGTCTGGGAACGAGGCAGATAGGGTGTCTGGTCCAGCTGCAACCAGGGTTCTGGGTTCCAAAAAAAAGGCCTACACCGGGAGTAAGCCCGTTTTTTCCTTCATTTAGGGTTGGGGTTCCCTTAGAATCCCCTTAGAACCAAAAAGGGTACCCTTTTTATTCCTAGGTTACTCCCTAAAGCGTTTAACCCTGAACTTCAACCCAGGCATGCATGCGGACCGAGTCAACCTCGTGGCGACAGGCCGGTTTTCGGGGGTGGCTGGGCTTGTTTAGGGCACTTTTGACCCTCACTGTTATATATAAGTAGGGCAACTGTCGCCCTCAGTTACTATTCAGGTACACATAGCGTAGTCCGACTTATAACCACCTGTGAACCTGCAATTACTACCATTGCTATTGTGTTTAGCCTCAAACGTCATAATTGGTAGCTTGCACGCATGCGTGCTTGCCTTCCCTTATTCTCATGCGTGTGCTTGCACACGCATATGCTTGGCTGCTTCTGCGTGCTGACGGATGTGTGTGTGGCATGGCATGACATGTATGCATGTGCTTACGAAGTTGTTTCTCGCAGTTCCAGTTTCGGAGCAGATGCTGGTGAATCTGGAGCCATGCACTCTTTCCCTTGCGTGGAGAAGTCGCTTTTTTTGGCTGGGATCCACTCTGGGTTCGCAAAAAATCAAAAACAATAGGTTCTCATAATCACCGTGCTTGTAGAATGCTAGGTACCAATCCTAAACCCTAAACCCGAAACCCTAAACACTAAACCCACCATACTGAATGGCAGGCGGCCAGCTGCCTCAGATCTTCGACCTGAAGAATTTGACGATGGCCCTGCCAGATGCTGGTGAGGCATGGGAGCCATCGTGGGAGCTGTCAGAAAGGATTTAGGGTTTAGGGTTAGGGTTTAGGGTCGGTCTCAAACCAAAAGGTTTAGGGTTTAGGGTTTCCAAAGCTTGCGCTGCTGTAGCCGTGAGGCATTCTGACAGAATTCGCCAAGTCAGTTCCAGCATGCCATGGTACACCTCTGGTACACAAATCTCTCTGTTGCTGGCAAGGGCAGCATTGCCAAAGAGCCCTCTATGCCCCTAGATTAAGGCATGTACCTGAAAGAATATTCAAAACCCCCTAATATATTTTAAGAGAATATTCGGAAGATTCCTTCAGTAAGCGGTACAAGGGACTCTTTCAGCAAACCCTAAACCTTCTTTAAAGTCCCGAGCTCTGAGAATAGAAATCGAGGGTATATTCCTTAATTAAGTAGCATAAAACAGCTCCTTGGTTTAGAGACCCTAAACCCTAAAATCGAACTCAAGGGCGATGTGTCCTAGAAGTAGACAAGTTGTCGTCAGCCTTCTCGAGGTTTTAGGTGTTTAGGGCTTAGGGCTTAGGGTTTAGAGTTTAGGGCAGCCTTACTATCTGCACATGACTCACCGGCCGAAATCGCCCCCACCTCCCTGCGCAGGCACGTGGCCGCATCCCGAAGGAATGCCAAGAGGCTGCTCAGGGCTCCCGGATGAAAAAGGAGCCGACGCCTGGCACAAGAGATCCTGGCAGGCCAGCAAAACGCGCCAAACCGCAAAACCACCCAGGCACAGCAGGCTGTGCCGCACCAACTGCTGTGGCGATGAGAGTGTCACCATAAGAGGCCCCTACTGCTGGCTCAGAATGGTGTAGGACTTTGAGTGTTTAGCGTTCAGGATCTTGGGCGTTGGGTTGCAACGAGACTGGGTTCAATAAAGGGGCCTTGGATGCTGAAGGCCAAAGGCTTCCGCATCCCCACACATCAAGCAAAAAACTCTGAGGGCGCTTAGGGTTTAGGGTTTAGGGTTTAGGGTTTAGGGTTTTGAGTGCAGCATCTGAGGAACACTTATGCTGGCGGCTTCTGGACTACCCGCTGCGCCAACGTTCCGGCCAAGGAGTGTCTAAAACCTTCTTGGGAATGTCCGTTCAATTTTTGTTATGTATAGAATCCCAGGGAAGCATGCCAACAAAAACATGTTCGTATGTGGTATGGCTTTTTTGACCCTTACAGCAAGAGTCCTTAGAGCCCACAAGGTTGTTGCTTCTAACCTTAACCCCAAACCCTACAAACCCTAAACCCCGAACTAAGCCCGAAACGGGGAGTGAGGTATCATGAGCTGGCCCTGGAGTACATCTGGCCGCTGTTGAAGCCTGAGGAGCTGTTGCCCAAAGACTTCGCTGTACCCTATTTAGGGTTTAGGGTTTTAGGGTTTAGGGCTATTCCCCATGCACCCTTCCCTATTCTAGGGCCACCGCTGACTTCGTAACTTAGGGCTGTTGGGGGCTTATAAACCCTAATCCCTAAACCCTGTAGGGGGCCATTGGGGTGGGTAGGTGGTTCTAGTAGGCTTTAGTGTGTAAGCATTTGTCGGCCTCAGAACGTACGTTGACCCATGTTTCCTCCGTTCTTCCCAACGAACCCGTAAGGCCCAAACCCTATTCTCTCAACCCTAAACCAGACCGAGAACCCAGCCACCCCTACAAACTAAATAAAAAAAACACGAGTGTAGGGTGGTAGACTACCCCTTTGCCCCCCCCCCCCCCCCCCCCCCCCCCAAACCAAAACACAAAAACCCAAACCCGAACCCTCAAACCCCCCCCCCCCCCCAAAGCAGAGATGCACCTGCTGGTGAAAGTACCCTTCCCTTTTTCGGGATATGTAGGTTGAGGGTTGAGGGTTTAGGGTTTTAACCTAAATCCCCCTGTTCCAGGTGAAAGCTTGCCTCGAAAATCCAGCGGAGGTGCGGGTCCAGGGTACCGAACCCAATAAGTCGTTAGGGCTTAGGGTTTGTAGAGCCTAAAGATACACCAGGCGGGTTTGGCAGTTTCGGGCACAGCCTTCAGCACAGATGCTGTGCTCGCCCCATGCACGAGGAGTCTGGCGCAGAGAATAAACTGACTATCCACCTGCGTGGAAATGACTTGTGGAACATGGGTGAGTTCGAGATGATGCCCAAGAAGCCTATCAACATGGATGCAGGAGCTCACCATTGGCTCTGGGCAAATCCTCCCTGCACCATGTATGAGAAGATCATTCGCGAAGAAGGGTTCGCAGAAGTTCTGGTTGTAACTTCCCCTGACCGTCGGCACGCCTGCGTTTCTTGGTTCGAAGGCTTCCAACAAAGAACAGGCCTTAGCGTCAAGGTTACCCTGCAGACGAACTCTTTGGCGGACGACTTTTGTACGCTGACCCGGGCCAGGAATCTAGTCCTTTCTTTCTCGACACTCTCGAACGCAGCTGCGATCATGAGCAAGCGGGTCAAGCGAGTATACCTGAGGCAGTTTGCTCTGAACTCCATGATGAATTGCAACATTTGGCCGGGCGTTTCGCTGGTGCAGTACAGCATGCCCATCACCGAGCAGCATCACGAGCCATACAACAACACCTATGCTGGAGTAACAGAGTGGTTCCAAACGTACAACATGAGCCTCATCACGCGGACGCCGTCATGCAAGTGAAAAGCAGTGAGACTCAGCCGGTCTATGATCCGGTGGCCAGACTTGACTTTCTGTCCCTAGAATCCCTCTTAGAACCCCCATAACAGATATAAACGCATGGCCCGACGACCCCCCCCCAAACCAATTTGGGGGTAGATAAAGAACCTTGTGATAATAGCCGGTCATGCCAACAAACTCATGTCGCAGAATGAATTTCGAAACTTGTGATTATAAACCCTGGATAAATTACAGCCAGTGCAACATTACTAGTCAGAACATGGGAAGATGCGGGACACGCGGCTAAAGACGTAGGCCTCATCAAGCGCGGTGAACGTTTCAGTTTCAGGCGGGGCCAGAATGCATGAAATACCTCAATGACAGAAAACTACGTGTAGAAAGCCCGGCAAATGAGACACTGCCCTTTCCTAAACCCTAAACCCGAAACCCTAGACTCTAAAACCCCTAAACCGGTTTTTTGGCTCCAGAAATTGGCGACCTGTAGAAGTTTATAGGGATTTCCGGCCTCCGGGCCGTTGCAGCCATGTCTCCGATGTGCCGAGCCGACATGGAGCTCTCCGGCTGCAGAGCTCCTTTTTCCCTAAACCCTAAACCCTAAACCCTAAAGCCTATATGAAGTAGGGTTTGTAATACTGTTGGTGAGTGTATATAAGGTTCCTGTTTTAATATTGGTGAGTGTATATATGGGGTGTCCTTTTGGGGACACAAGAAATATTTTCCCTACTTCATATAGTAGTGTACTTGGGCCTTAAAGGGGTTTTAGGGTTCAGGGTTTAGGGTTTAAGGGGGTTTCCTAGATAATATAGGAACCCCCTTTAAGGCCCAAGTACAGACTCAAGAAGGTGCAGGGATCCTCGGGGTTGCAAGTCATGTTAGGCTCAGGGAATGGCTCAAGTGTCAACATGCAGCCCCAAAACCCAAAACCCTAAATCTTTGACGGGGCGGGTTTAGGCTTTAGGCTTGCGGCTTGAGGCCTTAGGCTTTAGGCTTTAGGCTTTAGGCTTTAGGCTTTAGGCCATAGGCTTTAGGCTTTAGGCTTCAGTTTAGGGCATACGCAGTTCGCCAGGCCAAGCGTGCTTGCCAGACATGGGCCATTTTCTGGGTAGTTGTGTACTGAAGATGCTTGAACGGGACCCTAAACCCTAAACCCTTTAAATTTGAACCCTAAACCCTGAACCCTAAACCCATTGAACGCCCAAGCAGGTAAGCATAAGGTTCACGTAGCGAGCAATCCTTCCATCGACATACAGCCACCGCAGGATCGATGGCGAGTTGCTTCGGGCCACTCCACCTGAACCTCAAACCCTAAACCCCAAATCCCCTAAACCCTAAGCCCTTTCAGCCCCAGGTGCCAACCCCTAAACCCGTAAACCCCGGTTTAGGGTTTACGGTTTACCGCAGGGTTTAGCCCCCTGCTCTGTGTGGCTGCTAGGTAAGCAGGTGGCAAGGAGCCCTGAACCCCAAGCCCCAAGCCCTAATCCCTAAACTCCCTCAGCCTGTTCCCTAAACCCTATACCCTAAACCCTAAACCCTAAACCTCCCACATCCAAAGGCCCATGTATTTGCCCGTGGCTGCGCCGCCCCCGCCCGGGCTGCCCAACCCAGACATTTGGGTGACATTAGAGTTGACCTTGCTGGTTGACGGTCTTGGGTTTAGGGTGAGACCTGGGCAAAAAGGGTTTAGGGTTTAGAGGGGTTTGGGTAACTCTGGGTTTAGAGTCTGGGATTATGGGTTCAGGGTTTATTCGAACAGGGTTCATGAAGTTGCTTTCCATTTCCAGTGTTTTTGTCAGAGCAAAAAGCCGAAACCTAGGAATCTGAAACCTTGCGGACTTGAACAGAAAGGCCGCCCTACAAACGCCGCTTCAACCCTTGACAGACCCCATGCAAAACCACAAACGACCCTGTAAGAAAGCAAAACCTGCAAAAGCCTTTTACGCCCTCAAACAAACCCCTATGCAAACGAATGTAAACCCTAAACCCTAAACCCTAAATAACTATAATAACTATAGAACCAGAGAGAACCCTGAACACACTCCCTTCCCACAAAAAGTCAAGCTCCTAAAGCTCCTATGATAAACCTGGGAGGCCCCCCCCCCGCCCCTTTATACTGGCAGTCCTTCATAGGGATTCTCATAGGGGGGGGGTACGAAAATCCCTAGTAAGTAAGGACTGTTAGAAAAAGTGGGCACGTCCCAAGTTATGAACAACTCAAACCCAAACGCTCTATGCAAAACCCGAAACCAGAGACCCTGAACCATCCTGAGCCCTACGGTCTTACTCATGCGACTGCTTGGCATAGGCTTCTCTTCTCTTCTTTGTCCTACACAGACCAACGGACGTTGCCTGCCGCGTGCGAGAGTGAGCGACTAAACCCTAAACCCTAAACCCTAAACCCTAAACCCCAAACCCTAAACCCTAAGCCCTAAGCCCTAAACTTTAAACCCTAAACCCTAAACCCTAAACCCTAAACCCTAAACCCTAAACCCTAAACCCTAAACCCTAAACCCTACCCCCCTACACCCTAAACCCTAAACCCTACCACAAAAGCCCACAAAAGCCGAGGAGCTCGCCATGCTGCGGTCCCTGGGCGCAGAGAGCGCCCCTGAAAGGCTGGGGCCTGCAGTGGCGCAGCCGGGCTTGAGACAAGCACTTAAGAGGGGTTTAGGGTTTAGCGTTTAGGGTTTAGGGTTTAGAGTTTAGGGTGTCAGTGTATATAATATATATATATCTATGTGTATATATGATATATTATATTGTATTCTATTATATGATATGATATGATATTATATAAAATGATATTATATTCTATTCTAGTATATCATATATATATATATTTATTTATTTATGTGGTGTTTATGGGGTGTATATGGTCATTGAGTGTATAGGAGGCAGGAGAATCGTTTTTCGTTTTAAATAAGTTGTTTTGGCTGTTAGGGTTTCGGGTACAGAGTAATTGCGGCGCATTGGCTGGTGTTTTGGGCCAGGGGATTTTGGGAGTATACTTCCTTGGGGGCCACATGAACCTCCCCAAAATGGGGTCATATACCCTACACTACTATGATCTTTTCCAGGTATATGAACCCTGAAAATGGGATCATACACCCTACAATACCTACTAAGGTATTTGAACTAGGATGTGCCCCCTTGCACAAACAGTTCTTCATGGGGAGTATAGTACCCACTATTACAATCCCTATTAATTAAGGACTCTTAGTATAAGGGGGAACATCCCAATATATGAACCCTGAAATTGGGGTCATATACCCTGTACTACCAGAATCCCTATGAAGGTTTATGGAGCCGAAAAACCCTTTCTGGGCCCATTTGGCCCCAAGGTTTCCTTAACTTAAGCTTCAGGTAAGTTCCGTACTAAACCCTAAACCCCTGAACCCCTGAACCCTGAACCCCTAAACCCCTCCCTAAACCCCTAAACCCCTAAACCCCTAAACCCCTAAACCCCCAAACCCCCAAACCCCCAAACCCCCAAACCCCCAAACCCCTAAACCCCTAAACCCCTAAACCCCTAAACCCCTAAACCCCTAAACCCCTAAACCCCTAAACCCCTAAACCCCTAAACCCCTAACCCCCTAACCCCCTAAACCCCTAAACCCCTAAACCCCTAAACCCCTAAACCCCTAAACCCCTAAACCCCTAAACCCCTAAACCCCTAAACCCCTAAACCCTAAACCCTAAAGCCTAAACCCTAAACCAAACCCTATATAATAATTCAAGGTCTCCTGAGGCGGGCCCGCAGCCTCTTGATCCGGCCGGCCGGACCAGGAAGAGCGGCTCCAAAGCCGCCAAGGGGCCGAAATTCCGGGCACCGGAGGACGCACTCGAAGCCCTAAACCCTAAACCCTAAACCCTAAACCCCAAACCCTAAACCCTAAACCCCAAACCCCAAACCCTAAACCCTAAACCCTCATCCCGGATGACAATCCTAGCCTTCTCGCACCCAGCCAGGACTGCAGGAGCTCCGGAGGGGGTTCAGGATGTGCAATCCTAGAGATCTAGGCTCCAAAGACCAAAGGCGTTTCTTCCCTGAGAACCCGCCGCCCCGCTAATGTTTTACAAAACCATTAAATTATGCTTTATAAAAGACATAAAACATTAGCTAATGTTTTCTAAACAATAAAGAACTGTTGCATATACCGACAAGGTCATATCATCATATCCCTAGACCATTCAAGATCCGTTCCTTCATCAAGAGGTTTGGGGCTCTGTGGGTTCTGTTTTTAAGACTATGTAGGCTACTTGCAGGTTCACGTGTGGACATAAGTCGGGCTAAATATCTATATGTACATATATATTTATAAAATGACACTTTAATTAAATAAGGTTGCAAAAAATAAGGCTGTAACAAGGTATGACTACAGTGGCCCTGCTGAGAAGGACAATTACCCATGAATCTTCAAGTACCGAGGTCCTTGTAACCCGAAGATTAAGGAAGTTTACAGTTCAAGCTGGCAGGACGTGTATGGGAAAGGTTCGCAGTACGGCGACACAAGATGCCGGGCCTTCCATGGCAATGTTGTTCTGTCTTTCTTCGATATCCTATACGTTACCGTGCTGAACGGCGTCAGTATACGTAACTCCAGCTCCAGATATTTTTCGGAAGACTTTGGCATGAAAGCTTCGACTGACCGCAAATTCAGTGGATAACCTTGGGGACCAAATGAGCCCTAAAAGGGTAGATGCTTCACATACCTTGTAATTTGGGTGGGCTACGGTAGTATAGGGTGTGTGACCCCAATTTTATCCCCAAGGCATATCTCGCCCTTTCTAACTCGTCAGGAGCATCCTGGGGAGTTGGTCCCCTAACTGCTGTTCCCAAAGGGGTTTAGGGTTTAGGGTTTAGGGCCCCTTTATACCCCTTGATTGAAGAATATGCCGGTAATCATATTAAGGTTTTCTTTATGATTTCAGGGAATATTCCGAACCCCAAACCCTTAGCCCCTCCTGTGTATTCCTTATTTACATAAGGGGGTATCAGGCTCGCT